AGTACTGTTCACTTATGTGAGCCGGCCTGCCATCAAAACCATACAAATGAATTGCTTAAAATAAAAAAATTCTTTTAACAACTGAAAAAGAGTAGATATTTATAGTGGCTATTTTGCATGAAACTGAATCTTTGATAAATATACTATACAGGCTTTGGTATTATATGTAAGGGACAAAAACTTATTTGATTCTTTCTAGATAATATTGTACACCCGTGACTTCTCCCTTGTTTGCTTTACCATCAATTCTCATGTTTGTAATATCAATGTGTGCCCAGGTTTACGTATCTCTAAATATATACGTCTTTGCCCCCTATAATATTTTACTTGAAATGTTTATATAAAGTAAATAGATTATATAAAACACAACATATTACATAAAAATATTCAGCATCTCCAAATTATTCTTATAATCTCTCGTTTTACATATGAATTGTCCAAATATTTACCAATTGTTTTGCATGCGCACATAAGTACTAAAAATAATACTTTAAACGAAAGAAACTACTAAACATAGTATATTATCTAGTTTCTAACTAATTTTTATATTGCGGTTGATTTAAATTGGAAACTGCTCTCATGTTGATTTTTCAATAAAATTTGCATTCTTTATATATATAATTATAGAGTAGTTTGGATTTGACACATTTTTTTTTTTTGACACTTGTTAACCTTCGATTTTTTGTTGTCAATAACATTCGAATTTTGTTCATTAATCACAGGAAAATTATTGGAGCGAGGTATTACGTGAAAGGGTACGAGAGATATTACGGATCGTTCAACGTTACGGCAAACAAAGACTTCTTGTCTCCACGAGATCCCGACGGACATGGTTCCCACACAGCCTCTACTGCGGTTGGCCGTCGAGTCAACGGTGCATCCGCACTTGGCGGTTTTGCCATGGGCTCGGCCTCAGGTGGTGCACCGTTGGCTCGTTTAGCTATCTACAAAGCCTGTTGGGCCAAACCCAATGTGGAAAAGGTGGATGGAAACATATGTCTACAAGAAGACATGCTTGCTGCGATTGATGACGCGATCGCTGATGGCGTTCACGTCATCAGCATTTCGATCGGTACGACCGAGCCTTTACAGTATTTGCAAGACGGAATTGCGATTGGAGCGTTGCATGCGGCTAAGAGGAACATTGTGGTTGCGGCTAGCGCGGGAAATTCAGGACCGAAACCGAGTACTTTGTCGAATCCGGCGCCGTGGATTATTACCGTCGGAGCTAGTACTCTTGATCGGGCTTTCGTTGGTGGTCTTGTTCTTGGTAATGGCTATACAATCAAGGTAATTAGCCTAAATTATAAAATATATCAATCAATCATATATATGTTATTACATTTTTGTATAATACATAGTTTTCTTTTGTGTTATTTAGACGGAGTCAATAACGGCATTTAAAATGGACAAATTTGCCCCTTTAGTTTACGCCGCTAACGTGGTTGTTCCCGGCATTGCATTAAACAATTCAGCGTAAGATTTGTTCTCTTATTATTAAATTTGTTAATTTTTAAAATGTTCTTATATAGTTGAATTGGCGATTTTTGTTTGTTTATTTCTTTGGTGAAGGCAATGTTTACCGAATTCACTGAAACCGGAGCAAGTGAATGGTAAAGTGGTTTTATGTTTGAGAGGAGCCGGTTCAAGAATTGGTAAAGGTATTGAAGTAAAACGAGCCGGAGGAGTTGGTATGATTCTCGGAAATTCTCCAGCTAACGGAAATGAAATTCCGTCTGACTCTCATTTCGTTCCGACTGCCGCGGTAACCCCGACCGTGGTCGAGAAAATTCTCGAATACATCAAAACCGATAAAAAACCAATAGCTTTCATCAAACCGGGGAATACGGTTTACAAAAACCAACCAGCTCCTTTCATGACCGGATTTTCTAGCCGCGGCCCAAATGTGGTAGACCCAAATATTCTAAAGGTAATTTTTTTGTTTTTAGTCTTTCCACTTCAAAACAAAACCTAAACAAATCATAACGGAAACCAACCAGGTTAATTCTAGTTGCGGTTTTACAGCCCGATATAACCGCGCCAGGACTGAACATATTGGCTGCATGGAGTGGAGCGGATTCACCGAGCAAAGTTTCGGTAGATCAAAGAGTTGCAGAATATAATATCTACACAGGAACTTCAATGTCATGTCCTCATGTTTCTGGTGCAATTGCTCTTCTTAAAGCCATTCATCCCAAATGGAGTAGTGCTGCTATAAGATCTTCTCTTATGACCACTGGTAAACAAAAAAAAAATGATTATTTCATTGGTTCGATTTATCTAAACCGAAATTTTGTTTATTGCCTTTTGAATTTTTTTTAAATGTGTGTTCTTTTTATTGTTATAGCTTGGATGACCAATGATGAGAAGAAACCGATCCAAGACACTAATGGTTTACCCGCAAATCCATTTGCGCTTGGTTCTGGACATTTTAGACCAACTAAAGCCGCGGATCCCGGTTTAGTCTACGATGCATCATACCGCGCCTACCTTCTCTATGGTTGCTCAGTTGGTTTAACCAATATTGACCCGACATTCAAATGTCCTAGTAAAATTCCTCCTGGTTATAATCTCAATTACCCATCAATCGCAATCCCGAACCTGAACGGGACAGTGACCATTAAAAGAACGGTTACAAATGTTGGAAATGGTAACTCAACAAGCACTTACTTATTCAGCGCTACACCGCCATTGGGTGTCTCGGTTAAGGCTAAACCGAGTGTGTTGTCATTTAACCGGATTGGTCAGAAGAAACGGTTTAAAATCGTGGTCACGGCAAGGAAGGACAAGATGATTAATGTGACTGAAAAGGGTCAATACCAATTTGGATGGTTTAGTTGGACAGATAGGTACCATGTTGTGAAGAGTCCAATTGCTGTTTCCTTAGCTTGATTGTTGTTGGCTTATTTGGGGTGGTATTAGTCGATCGATTAGTAATTTAGAGGTGTAAAAGTGAAAGAAATATGTTCTAATCACTCTGGTGATTTACTCTTGTGTTCAATCAAAGAAGTAACTATTCTCATCGTTATTACTTGTGAAGATGATGGAAGAAGAAATCAAGTATTAGCATTTGCACTTATTGGAGTGGGCCTGATTTGATATAATCAAGAAGCCTAATCACTATAATTACTTGGAAATTTGGAATATCGAACAAACTAAATATGTATATATATACTTTGTCACATGATGATTTTTTATTTTAGAAAACGATTGTCACATAAAAAATTCAATCAAATCTCTGTCTAGATTCTCGTAACAAACTATACAGATCGCCGATTCCTTT